GGGGTCAAGTAGCAGGGCTGCCCAGGTGATGGTGGGGGTCAAGTAGCAGGGCTGCGTCCTGATGGTGGGGGTCAAGTAGCAGGGTTGCGTCCTGATGGTGGGGATCCAGTAGCAGGGCTGCCCAGATGATGGCGGGGGTCAAGTAGTAGGGCTGCCCAGGTGATGGTGGGGGTCAAGTAGCAGGGCTGCGTCCTGATGGTGGGGGTCAAGTAGCAGGGCTGCGTCCTGATGGTGGGGGTAAAGTAGCAGGGCTGCGTCCTGATGGTGGGGGTAAAGTAGCAGGGCTGCCTAGTGTCATCACCCATAATATAAGTGTCATCACCCATGTAGTCACTAGTCTTTAGTCACTAATCATTAGTCACTGCTACCTTCCATGTCTGTCGTCACTCTACCGACGGTAACTACTGTTACTAGGCCTTCCAGTACGAATAGCATTGATGACAAATAACTTGTGTATGTACAGTGAAATGCAATGTATCGAATTTCCCCGCCTCTGGTAGCACAAGATTATGCAATGTATCGAATTTCCCCGCCTCTGGTAGCACAAGATTAATTTTTTGCTTTGCTTGATCAGAGTGAAGCGCAACTGCTGGCCTAAGGTACGTGGTGTGGCCATGAACCCCGTGGAGCATCCCCACGGAGGTGGTAACCACCAGCACATTGGCAAGGCCAGCACCGTGGCAAGGGACAAGACCCCTGGTCGCAAGGTCGGTCTCATCGCCGCCCGGAGGACCGGTCTGCTGCGCGGCACCCGCGCGTCCAAGCGCGGCCACGAGTAAACCACGCGCTTGTGTTCACGTCTTTCATTTACCTCTTTCACGTCTTTCATTTACCTCTTTCACGTCTTTCATTTACCTCGTTCACGTCTTTCATTTACCTCGTTCACGTCTTTCATTTACCTCGTTCACGTCTTTCATTTACCTCTTTCACGTCTTTCATTTACCTCTTTCACGTCTTTCATTTACCTCGTGCCTTCTGATCGATGTTTAAAGATATATCTGAATCAACTGCCATTTCGTAGTTGTTTTCAAACTTTAGATTTTTTCAGTACTGCTAAATCGGTTATTTCACTTTTTTTCGGAAGCTGCAGTTCTGATGAAGGAGTTGGGACAAGAATGAGGGGTGACACAGGTAAATTGCCCGCCTGCCACTCTTGTGCTGGAGAAGAGCACAATGAATGGCAAGTAATGATAGATATGGCCAGTGGTCGACCGAGGCCAAAAAATAAAATTTTGACGGTATTTTTTTCGTGGGTATTTTTAGCAGTAAGTCTTCACTGTAGGCAACATATTTAATGCCTTCAAAATTAATCCATAAGTCATAGTGCACATGTCCTGTTCGACCGCATGCCATTTTCCTCGGCCACTTTAAAGCCGGCCGTAGCCCCGTGATAGGTTACATATATATACATATATATTATAGGCAACACGCTCTAGCGTAGCTACTTGCCGATCTGATACGCCCCAGCTGGGGCCGTATTATCAAAACTTCGTAAGTACGCAAAATCGACTTACGAGTGGCGTTGCTATGACAACGTAATACTAGCGGTGGTATTATAATAACATTTGCGCGGGAAAAAAATTTAGGCTTTTAGCTCAGACTTGCGTACGAAAGTTTTGATAATACCAAAATTAGGGTGTATTTACGTACCACAGAATTTTTTTGTCGTAAGTACAAAAAGTTACGAACTTTTGATAATCCGGCCCAGACCTACGTTTCGCATCGCTATCATGAATTCCCCGCTCTCGAACATAGATAGCTGCACTGAAAAGTTTTTATTTAAGATTGTGAAGCCGAGCCACCGAGCATATCAGTGGCAAGATGCGTTATGAAGATGTTAAAAGGTTTATGTAAGTGTGAAGGCGTCAACTGAAGATACCGGTAGCCAGATGCTCAATGAAGTGTGCATGAAGGATAGTTTTTTTAGGAGCGGTTAGACGAGGCACTGAAGATAAGTGGCCATCATCACCACAGATCACAGCTCAATGAAGTGTGCATGAAGGATAGTCTTTTTAGGAGTGGTTAGACGAGGCACTGAAGATAAGTGGCCATCATCACCACAGATCACATAATATCTCCATGAACCAATATCACCATGAACCAATATCTCCATGAACCAATATCTCCATGAACCAACATCTCCATGAACCAATATCTCCATTCTCAATAGACCAACATATCAGGAACCCCATTAAGCTTGTCACGTACAGTAGGTGTGTGATCCCTTAAAGCAGTGGATCCCAAAGTGGGCGATATCGCCCCCCTGGGGGCGGTGGAAAGATCTGAAGGGGGGGGGGCGGTGAGGAAGAAAGGGACGGTAGGGGGGGCGGCAGTCCGAAGTCGAAGTCAGAAGTTCGTACGTTTGTTTGACGATTTGTACACAACACGTGCAGAACATGACTCCGACTCGAATAAATTTTCACGAGCTATAAATCACCGTTTGCAATTTATATTCAAAATTTGGTTTGAATCTGTTCAGTAGTTTCGAAAAAAATTTGTTGATCACTGCCAATTTCGGCCTGTAGCTTATCGCCATATAACTCCGGAATGAACGTGAAATTTCTATATTTTTCACAAGCTAAACATGAATACGTGTCCTAATGAATACGTGTCCTTATGAATACGTGTTCCATGTTTCATCAAGCTGCGTTCATTAGTTTGGGAGATATTCCTTGGTCACTGAATTTGTAGATTGGCTGTGAGACCGGCCGCAAATTTGTCCGAGCCGTCTTGAATTTCTAGTGCTGAAACAGTTATAACTGTAAAAAAAATATATTGGTTTACTAAATGGGGTTCTATTTGTGAAATACACATTTGTGTTTAACCTTTCTCTTTTAAAATTGCAGCGTACTTATTATCAAGAATATTGAATTTGTTTTTTATACGTGTCTGTCGGGGGTGGGGGGCGCTGGGGAGCCAAAGGGGGCGCCAGCCTGGAAAAGTTTGGTAACCACTGGTTTATGGTGTCTTGACGAGTCATAGATGAGAGTTTTGATGAACTGTATTTCGTATTCCAGCCCACCATGAGCTGAAATTTCCTTCAATTTTCTGGGATTATCTTTGTGAATAGCTCTACTCGCTTGCTGGCATCGCAGCACGTCAGACTTACAGCTACATAAATAATGCAGTCGAGAAAAAAATTGTAGTCAAGTGTTTCATGCTATATGTGTTCCCGCACTGATTTTTTCACACACATGGTAATTTTTTTTGTGATGGAGGTTAATAAATATACTTACTATTGATGATGGCGTGTTGGGAATTGCTCAGTTATAGCTCCAAAATTGCGCATGCTCAGTCATGGCGATGTGGGATCCACAGCGCACTGAAATTCTCTCATTATTGTTAGCATCTTCTTGTATTTTTGAAGCTGTCACCATGAATCTGTAAAAAGATGCATGGATACGGCTAAAGGAAGAATTTAGTATTAATTATAGTTACGGTTTTAACAGCAAAGCCACTGCGTAGAGAGGAATACAACTTTCTCTACAGGGTTTAGGCCGATATATCAAGAAGACCTAGCCTGCATACTTGTCATAATCTATTATTCACAATTTTCTTACAATACAGGAAGTTGACACGCTTGCTAAACTTTATTAGTCACTCACAGTAATCATCTGCGTTATCTATAATAAGATAATGCAGAATATGTACGCGGAAATTACATTATTCGTCCATATGAATAAATTTTTTGAGAAATTTCGGTGAGCAATTTTCGCCGTGAGAAATTTTTGAGTAGAGGATAGTGACAGCTGACAGTCAGTGAATGCAGTGAAGGATAGTGAATGCAGTGAAGGATAGTGAATGCAGTGAAGGATAGTGAATGCAGTGAAGGATAGTGAATGCAGTGAAGGAGAGTGAATGCAGTGAAGAAGATTGAATGCAGTGAAGGAGAGTGAATGCAGTGAAGGAGAGTGAATGCAGTGAAGGAGAGTGAATGCAGTGAAGGAGAGTGAATGCAGTGAAGGAGAGTGAATGCAGTGAAGGATAGTGAATGCAGTGAAGGATAGTGAATGCAGTGAAGGATAGTGAATGCAGTGAAGGATAGTGAATGCAGTGAAGGA